TATTTCTTGAAAATTATTACTATTTTCTTTTATCAGGAAGCATTTCTATGGAATTTAGTCATCAGAAATGATGAAAGTTTTTCATTTTACAGAAAGAACTCTGAAACTATGTCAGATTTATTGAGATGGGATTTTCAAGAGACTAACATTAGCAATAGAAATCCTACTGAAAGGCATTCAACCCGAATGAGTTATGAAGCTGCTCATCAACACAGCATATGAAGATTATTTTTCTTAAAAAGGTTGAAAGTGCAACCCCTTGTCCTGTCTGATGCCTAATACCCAAAAGCATTCCCCTAAATATGACCAGGAACTCATATTCTTGGTAAAAATCTCAAAACTAAAGGCAATTGGGCACTTTGTGGCTCACATAAGAGTGGTAAACATGCACTGCAGCTCCAGTATCCGCCTCGCCCTACAGAATCTGAGCTGCTGCTGACTCTTCTGAAAGGAAAAATGCATTCATTTCCTGCACAATTTAAGGAGCCCAGTAAGTACTGGGCAGCCCTTCAGTTTCACATGTCGTTGGCAAGATGCACCTACATATTTACATCCATCACACTGATCACAATAATTCCCTGGCTTTTAAAAGTATGAAAATCACCTTATAATAGAGTTTTTCCTTCTTCCTGTAATTAAAATAGGCAATCACTCTCAAATAACAGGAAAGAAGCACTTCAGAATCAGTCCAGTGAACAACACTGACAATACTGCTCTTGGGAGATGTGGTGCAAGCCACAAAAAGTAGGTCTCTGCCTTGATGCACCATGCTGGGAGCTGCCCCTTTTGTACAGGTAAAGAGGTGCTCACCAAAGAAGAATCAGCTTGGCTTCCAGCTTCATAAAAACTTTCTCGGACTGCCCTGCTGACCCACAGGTATTTCCACTAGGAGTTGTCCCCCGTTTCAGCTCCTGTGATACATCTCCTTCAAAACATTCTGGTTCAGGGTATGCATTGCTACTTTCTCCATCAAACAGAGGCAGGGCAGAAACCAGCCACATGTCCTGCTTCTGTAACACACCTGTCCCTTGCCAAGATGCTTCTGCATCACTGTTATTTTCTTGTCATTTCAGAGTAGAACTGTAAGTTCTTAACTTTGGTCCAGTTTAATAATTCGCTGAAATGAAGAACAAAAATAGCTAACCTGCACAAAAACCATTATGGAAAATAGTATTTTATTTCTATGGAAATTGTATTTTATTCACCACTTTCAATTGAGTGAAGTTGCATCAATCCTGATGTTTTAAGACGGGTTTCTTTTATTTTTTCCTTCCACAAGTGAAAGAAAACAGCTTAAGACTATAAACACAAAGCCATTGTTTTATTTAGTGGAAGGGTGAACATCTATCTAAAAAACATCTGGACAAACAGGTGCTCTCTCATTCAATATCCTATTAATAATTCCACATTTTACTCTTTCTTGTTAATTCCAAATGATTTGTGATAGATTTAAATCACAGTGGTATAAAATGTCACCTGCTGATATCAACATTTATCTCCAAAGTATCCTAAGCATTTTGGTTTATCCTGTGTCTACAGCTCACCTCAAATATCGTGAGTCAATACTGGAGAGACTTCAAATCAATACCTGAGTAACGCAGAGGAGCATCAGTCATTTAGCAGGCAATACTTGACTCTGTCATTCGAAAGTACAGTCTCATGGTTGGTACGTGTTAGTTTGGTGTGGTTTTATTTTTGAGGGGGTGGGAAGGACTGACTGTTCATTTGCTTTTGTGTTTGTTTTTTTCTTTTCTTTTTTTTTTTTTTAAGAACTAGCACATGAGATTTTGACTATTGTCTGACAAGAATTTCTCCAGTTCCTTTTTCTTAAAGAGCATTATTGATCTAAGCACATCAGCCAAGTGCCAGTACTCATAATTATGTTCTCAGCTCCCTACATTCAGAATGAAGCTTTGGTTGGACACAGTGATCAGAGAGCACACCACTGAACAGCTGCCATTCCCTGTTACAAAGGCGACCGACTGAACATCAGTGCCATATGATGTGGCTCCTGCATTTTCCTTACATATCTTACAGAATTGTTCTGCCTTGTGGCTTAGTCAGTTCATTGTAATAGTAGGCTGTAGGATGAATGGTGGTGAAAGAGTACAAGATTAATGCACTTACTAGAATTAGAAGAAATACAAACTTCGTCACTGAAATACACTCAAGCCAGACTTTTCTAGAATACTAATTTTGTCAGAGAAGAAAGGGAATAAAGACTTTCTTTTCATAAACTCAACTGCAAGGAAAGCAGTTTATACTGGTTTAAATTAAGAGAGATCAGTCTGAACCCTTACCCAAATTTAGTAATTCTGAAGAATTACTTATGTGTTTTTGAGAGGTTATTTCAAGTAAATTATAAATATATATAGTGCTTTCGCCACTACTTTTTGCTGTGAGAAAGCATGCTGGTATTTTGGATACAATAGAGATCTTAAAAAGAAACAAGAACAGACAGTGAGAAAAATACATGACTCTCCGAGTAGCTTCATTTGTTTTTATTTGACTTTATAGACTTGTAAGCAGCCTGTGACCACTGGTAGTTATATTTCCAATACAGAACTACAGACCAGCTCAGTTCTGTACTGTTCGTCAGAAAACAGAGCAAGGATCTTAAGTTTTAGCATCTTTCCAAGTGCATAAATGTAATTCCCCCAAACTTAAGATCAGGCACTTGAGCTAATTCTATTGCCAAAGTTACAAAACTGAGAAAAAAGTGTCAAGTTTCCCATTTGTGCCACATTCACTCATTGGATCAAGCTGAACCCTGTTTGAACTTGTTAGAGTAAGAGTACAGTTCAGACTGGCATGATTACTGGCAAGCTGTTCCTTAAAATTTAAGTACACTGAATTGTACTTTTATGTGAATCATGAGATAATTCAGGTGGGAAAGACATCAGGTCATCCCCAAATGTGACAAAACACAAGCCTTCCCACAGACTAAGTAGCCTGCAGCACCAGTGGGGACACTGTGTATTTTTTGAATAAATTGTGAATCTAATAGAAAATGGGCATGAAAATAGAGATCAACCAACACAAGTCAACAAATGCAGTCATTAAAAAAATGAAATAAATGGAAGCACCTTTTTCCTACACCAACAAATTAGAAAGAAATGGAAATTTTGCTGTCAGTAGCACAGGAAAAATGGAAAAGCTGGACCCTCCAACCTGCGCATTTAAATTATCAGGTGTTGTTTAGGGTCAGCATCCAATTTCTCCATTTCTGAACACATGAAAAAGCTTCTATAGACCCAGAAAATTAAAAAAAAAAAAAAAAAAAAAAAAAAAAAAAAAAAAAAAAAAAGCATTTGGAAATTAAGTAGTATATATTAATTCTCTCCATCATTTCAATTGTAGCCCTTTCAATCTAATAGATAGCATGCTATTTCTTATAAATATTTTCACTGAAAGACCATCACTACCATTTTTTGAACTCCTCTAGTTCAGATTGTATTTACAAAAATATCTGGGAGATGGTGATGTGTCTGAGACCTGATTTCATATGCTATGCACTTGTGATGTACATCAATGTACGTAGGCATGTATTTAGGAGGGAACAGTTCACCTCTGTAAGCGTAACTCCCTTTTAACTTACGAATTCAAGAACTGTTCCCTTCATGGAGAACTGCATGTATGCTTCACAGCTATTTGATATGGGCTTCTGTGAGCCATGATGGCCACCTAGTACTGAATTATTCCACTTATAAGCAAACAGTAGTCAAAAGGAAGAGATGTGTACTATTTCAGAATTCCTCACACTGTTTTTAAGAACTTGAATCAGTAGCTACACTTTGAAAATCATCAGTAGAAAATACATAACATCACATATCCAGAACATCCTAGTAACTCTAAAATTCATACCATGTGAGTTTTCAACCAAACTCCATTAAATAAACATTGTCAGAATTGGTAAAACACACTGAAGTACTGAACCGCTCAGCAGATGTGCTGTGTAGGAAGTTGTTTTATAGAAAAGGAATTCAGCTAAGTATGAGGGCTACACACTCAGAGGCAGTTCTGTGGTTATGTTTTTTCTGTATAACAGCTGTTTCTGTTATTCAATCAAGTTACTCTTCTGATTCAAGCAACTGAAAGAGTTGAATCTCTATTTGGATTAAACAATGCTATTTTTTAGTATTTGAAAATCAAATAGTAACAAAAAAAAGAGCAAGTACCAGAATGACAACAGTTACAACCCTTAACTCTGGTAAAACATGACCAAACAAAGCCCAGTCTGTTGCAGGGTCATCCATTACTAATCTTCCCTCAGTCAGACACAAAATTCCCTTGCCAACTTTCAGCTCTCCAGAGCAAGAAGAAAGTGAACAGATACATCAGTGCTTCATTTTCACATTACCTTAATCCTGAAGTGCTATTTGCTGCTGAACCATGGCCAAATGCAGTAACACTACACTACACATAAAGTTTACTGCACAAAACATAGAACAGAAAATAGAACAGATTTGAAAGTAATTATGTCATAAGCGTAAGATGTAATTACTAAGGAACCAGAACTATAACATGCTCCTGAATAGAGAAAGGATCAGACATTACTGAAAAATCCCTGCAGAATGTTCTTTAAATGACAACATCTAGAAGAGTTAGCAAGATGTCTCATATCTCTTTCTCTTCCATTGCAAATTCATTACTATATTTTGTTTGCTACGGCAACACGCTCAAATTTGACACCACTAATGATGCCACAAACGAATGAATAAAGGCACAGAAGGATAAAGAACAGGTAGATCTTGGAACCCCTAGATTTCACATGCCTCGTGCTGCTTGTAACTGTCTGACAGACTGACTGCAGAAAGATTTATGGAATTGCTCATGAAGAAGTTGCAAAATAAATTCCAAAAGCAGAGGAGATGAAAACAAAGGAACCAAAGGAGATGGGACTGTAAAATGCAGTTAATGAAAATAAAACCTTCTGAATACATGTCAGATGTCAGAGAATTACATTTTATATTACAAGTGAATTAATCAGATATTCTTACCAGAAGGAGTGCTTTTTGATGTTCTCTGATGTGAAGTAGCTAACTTTTCACCTGAAAGAGCATAAAATAAAGAGTACGTTAGAAAATGGGATGCAAAAATGATCAAGTCATAACTTAAGTGTTACTTAGAATACTTATTGTAGCATGAGTATGATTCATTAAGGAATAAGAATGTTTATTAATGATAGTATTTCTTTTTCATAACAAGCTTATTCTGTAACAGTATTTTTCCATCAAGTTCACAGGAAGGCAGACATGTGCACAAGGGCAGAGCAGCTATTATGCTTGCTTATTTGCTGTTTCTGTTGCAGAGAATAAAGGATTGCAGCTGTGGATGTAAAGCACCTTATATTAATAACACAGACATAAGGAAGGATAACAGTTAAAAAAAAAAAAATAACAATGCAAAACAAGTGTTTTTTACACCATGGAGTTTAAGAAGGGAAGGGGGAGGGGGGGGAAAAAATCACTGGACTTGATATCATCTGACAAGAACTTATGTTCCCATTCTAAACTTGTCTGGCTAGTTTAAAACACTGACTAATACAGCATTAATGCAGATAAGAAACTGTGTTCCCCATCATACTATACTGTATAGCTATGCACTACCGATATATAACCTGCAAGTTGAAAATCTTACGGTTTGGTTACATACATGGGTGGTTTGAGTACTCTCAGAGATTAATCCATCGGAATCATCATAGCTTTTCTCCAATTGTCTCTTAAAAGAGACTGCTTTATGGTCATCAGAAATTGACCTTTTGTTATCATGTCCATCACACGGTAACAGCTTTCATTACCAAATGGCCCAGTTGTTCTGTCATAGCAACAAGTTTAATGAAGCAGTCACATGTATTAATGGAGCATTATACTAAGGTTCACATGCTGCCCTCGCTAACCAGAGGCTGTTCAGTTGCTCTATAAGGTAGGTCAGAAATGAGCTCTTTATGTCCATATTTCCCTTCTGCAGTAACAGCCAATTCTTCTCATGCCAGAGCCTACATTTGACTGACTGCACTAACTCGATCAAGACATGTCTTCTCTTCAAGCCCTATGACAAGCCATTTGTGAAAGCTGTTTCCGCATGCTAAGCAGTAACTGAATGCAGGGCAATTGCATTTATTTATTTAAAGCAATCCCAGACACCAGTACCATTTCTCACAGTAGCTGAGGGTTCCTAGTTCTGTTTTCAGTGGCTCATCTCAGCCCACTGGCTAACACCATTTTCACACCTCTGTGCAAGTCACTTCCCCACTCCAGGTCTGACTCTCACTCTACCACCACCTGTCAAACTTTTCACTCATTCTCTTTCCAGACTTAAATCATTACTGATAAAACAGAAAAGAAAAACCTAATTGTCTTCTCTCTGCCTTTCTGCTGTATACATAAATATGAAGAAAATTTCAAATAAGATGTCCAAAGTTTACCATAATCATTCATCCTGCTGTACTTGTAGATCCCTCCTATGCTCCAGTGCTGCCTTACATCCCACTGAACTCAAACGAAGTGACAGATTTACCAGCTCACAGTCTTTTTATTTCCATGTGTGACAGCATTATGCTACAAGCTGCATTATACATTAAATAGTGTGACAACACAATAGGCAAGGCGTACGTTTCAAAGAAAAATGAGTATCCTTCAAGTTTATCTGATGGCAGTTAGCTTTTGTTATCGCTGCGGAAAACATGACATTCTAGTACAGGAGCTTACAGCACAAACCATTAAGTGAAATTGAAAGTGAAAAAAGTTCCTGACCCTGGAAACACTGTTTCTTAGCCCATGACAGTTTTGCAAAGAAGATACTTTTAAAGTTCACGCTGACACGCACCTCATTCCCAAAAGCCAACTGAACCTCTGAAGAACCACCAGCTTTTTATGTTACATGTTTGTAACACACAATTCAGAATTACCATCTACACTGTGCCAACCTAACATCACATTTCACAGAATTATCATCATTTAAATTTTATTCCATACCTCATTTTGGAAAGAGGCCACAACACGAAGGCCTTAGGCTATTATTCTGAATTGCCAGTATTATTCACACAAAGCCTGTGCCATGAACCAATCCTCACTTTGAAAAGTTAACAAATACAAATCCCTATTTAAGCCTGTATTAAAAATTACCTCAGTATGCAGAGAACACAATAATTACAAATAGCTGTTACTAAAGGTTTCATTCACATCTCAATTCTCAGCTGAAACCTCTCCAGAAAGAAATCAGATGAGAAAACCCACCACCTAGGTACAAATGCATCTCTCAATTTCTAGAAGTCTTTTTCATGCTCCAGCAACACAGGCAAATAATTTATTTGAATTATTCAAGGATAAAATCCAGTCAGCCACAAACTGACTAGTGCATAGATGCATTAATCACTAGTATTTCTAAACCTCTGTCATTAATGAGATCAACAACAGAAGGATAAGTGTAGTATTTCTCTCCCTAAAAGAATACTCAAACTTTGAGAAGGAAAACTTAGCTTCTGAAAACAGGCTTTTTGTTCTTGCAAGCTCTTTAGGATACCTCACACAATGGTAGGTGTGGGAAATGCAGAAGATCAGCGGGGGGGAGGGTTGACACGTTGCTTAGCAGAGCCTTTTGTTAATAGATTATTTTATTCAATAACAGTATAATTATTTTTTTTAGTCTGTTGAAGCAGAGAAATTACTATTGTTTGTGTTAGAGTTACAAATGACAGGAAAGCCTGCTTTTGTGTAGCTTCGGTGGTGTGGAATACAGTAAAAGAATGAAATTCTGAAATGCTTCCTAACAACTGCATGCACACTGTAGTTCTGTCAAGTGGACATTATATACATATGAAAATAAAGACAGACGTGCACCAGAAACTAAAATCATGTGAAAATGAACTTCACAGTAGTTGATAGTTTCATAACTTACTAAAGACACCATCCATTGAAAGCCTAGCTAGGTTATATAAGTTACATCAAGATAGATGCACACTATTCATAGAGTTTTTACAAAATGGGATTTCTTCCCAGCCAAACACCAAGCTCAAACTTTCTGTGTTTTCTTAGAGAGAGGCCAGAAAAACACAGTGGGTGCCAAGTTTTCACCAGGGAGAGCTAAGAATCACACAATGTAAGTACACACAGCCAGCTCCCTGCCCCTCTGCTCCCTGTCAGCCAACTGACCGAGCCTTGGCCATCTCATCCTCAACTCAGAAATTCACCATTCACTTCACAAGAGCAAATTGCCAGCCATCTTCAGAGCTGTTTTCCATCCATTGGAATATTGTTAGACAAATCTCAGGTTGAAGTGAGCCTGTCTTGCTGCATAAGACTTATACTAGTACTGTTATTGTGCCACCCTCACTACCTGGTGTCCTTCTCTACTACTAATTAGCTTTATGGATCACTTAATATACAAATAGTAATCAAATAGCTTCAGGACAAAGCAAAGCTTTGACTGTAGCCTTACTTCACTTCAGTCCTTATTTCTTCACCAGGATGTGATTTGGTCGTCTTACCTTACTCAGTTTATTGGTTTGAGAATAACAGGTGACAGAAACATGGCACCATGAAAATCATGAGAAAGTAAAACCTCCAGAGGCAGTAGTAAAAGCTCATTTATCCTCGCCTATGAGAACCAGAAGACAGCAATATGAAATTGAATTATGGAGGATGACAGCAAAACTAGGCGGGTTTTTTTTTGTTGTTGCTTTTGTTGGGTTTTTTTCCTCCATGAACTGAGATCTCTCAAGTCAAGTTCCATACTTCTCTGCAAGCAGCAACACTTTTGTTTCCGGTTAGACAAATAAACCCCAGACTAAAACACAAAATCTAAAGAAGAAAACATTTGCCTACATTAGCAAAATAGAACTTCAGCTAGCTAGTGAGCAGAAATCATAGTGCCGGCCCCGAGCTCCAGAAGTTCTACTGACACAGTGATATCAATACTCCTCCAAAGCCTACTGGTTTAGGGTAAGCATACAGTAAGACGCTTCCATTCCCCGCTGCATGGGCCAGACACATCCCCCACAGTGGCAACAGGAACTCAGACAAACCCAAACAAAACAGGGCAAATTTGAGACTCTAAGTCACATCCTGAACATAATGTGGTATATCTGAATTCATCAGTAACTGCAGATGCCATTTCACTTTCATCCCAGCTGCTCATCACAGAGTGCCTAACCACTCAGGGCTGCACATGTTCATTTTCCTGACTCCTTGCTAAGTGTCACAGCAATATTTTTCCTGATTCTTTACTCTTGGCTGCTACTGCCTTGCCATCTTCCCTCAGCCAAAGTTTGAATACATTGATGGATTAGATAGCTTTGATAGAAGACTGAGGCTCCTCATGCTTACAAAAAAAAAAAAAAAAAAAAAGTGTTTTCTCTAGAAGTCCACCCTTTGACTCTTTCTTTGAATTAAAATTTATCATTGCTAGCTTTTATTCCTTGACTTGACCAAGTTTCGGAACAGCCGGCTCTAGCTGCTTCCTTCAGAGAGCTCTATGTCCTATGGATCTGCAAAAACTTGCATTCAGAAATGGTGCCAATCTGATACGGATGATGAGGCAATGCAAGCAATGGCAGGACAGTGTCAAAATAGCTATCATGTAATGAAGCTTTAGTTCTGACAGTCAAAAAAGGTCAAGACACAGAATAGCCTTTTTACAGAGGACTGGAATCTAACTGCATCTGAAGGCGGCGATCTCATGAGCAGACCAACCTCAATACTAGAATGAGTAGCCTTTCACACAATGGTCTCAGTAAAATCACTTCCCCACAGCAAGCACAAGAATATATTTTTACATTGTCAGTGCAGAAAGACAGTTCTCTCATATTTGAGTATCAACTGACAAAGCACCAAGAGTCAGCACTCACAACAGAAGCCAATGATAAAAACAACCTGAATAGCTCATTTGGGTGCTTTTCAGTAAGCACCTGCACACTCTGCAGGTCAGGGAAGGAGGCAAAACCACTGCCAGAACAGGAATGGAGATGTCATTAATGGCTTGTCGATTCTAGATTATGAGAACTCTATCCAATTCATGGGTCCTGTAGCCCTGAGACTCACAGGAAGAAAAT